ATTCGTTTTTGAAGAACTCCAGACGTTCATCGTTTTCCCATTCTGCACCATAGTGTTTGGCTAGCAAAGAGGAAATGCTTCTTATCTTGTCCGGTTTAAGGCTTCTGCCGGTATTCAGTGGTTGTAACTTGAAGTGGTTAACTGTTTGAAATTTCTTACAGATGCTCTTAGCTATAGAAATATCGTTTTTGTAAAATGGTTCACCCCTGACAAGAACGGAACCATCGGTGGCCTTTGTAAAAATTATGCGTTTAGACGGTTGAAAGCGGAAATGCCAAGATCCAGGGCTCTTCTGAACTTTTTTCACGTCACTTTTCCAGTCGAAGATTGGGTAATCTACGCCCATTCTAAGTACTGTAGCATACTCTTTAATTATCTTCAGGTACATCTCTGGGTTAATTATGGTGGCACATTTTTTAATCTTCCTCTAGATTTGGCCAACGACTCGATCTGGAGGGAGGAAAGAATGACCGACTACTGGATAAACGAGTTCTATGAGTTGTATCTGAGGTGGAGAACAGCGCTTCAGCCAGTATTAGACCATACCGATCATCGAACTATTTTTATTTTATCCTCCACACCAAACGCACTTGCTGTACCTCTTCATCAAAATTAAAGCTCTCCAATGAGTAAAAAACTGCAGAAACTATTTCATTTGAGCTTCTTTGGTGGCCCTTTTCTGTCCAAATAAGCTCAAAGTCCAAATGATTTTACGTTTTCAGGAGTGAGTTTCGACTTTGAGTGCCCACTTACTACCGTCAAATTATATAAATTGACCTACATACTAAAATAACAGGCTTGATCTGAAATTTTTGGCAGTTGTAAGTTTTTCTGACAGTCAAAGGAAAAAATTGCAGTTTTGGGATCATTTTCTCTTAGCAAGTCATAAAATGCATTACTGCGTAGTTTGTGTACACGCTGTTCTGTCATTGTCGTTATTTTTTCTTGAGGGTCGGTAATTTTTCTTAGTTTTTCTGAAAACTGCAGGCATTTTGAACATACATCAACCTTCGGAGATCCAAAGCCAATATTGTATTGTCGTACAAAAATGTTCCTGAAAAAACACTGTTTAACTTTTAGGGTTTCATCCATTCGGTCATTGTACATCTTCCATAATTTGACAATATTCAGCTCACATGGTAAGTATCGCCTAATAATTGTTTTATTACGTGCATAATGGGTCTCGCAGCAATTTAATCCCTCGATGAAATTCTTTATAGCTTGTCTTTTAGCAGCCGTTTTGTGTGATATTTGATCACCTCCTCTGTTTTCTGCTGGTAAACCTCCGGTCTGGTGATATCTGCTAAGTATTCTTTCAAGTCGGTTTTTTCCAGTACCTAGTATATCCACAAATGTATTTTTGCACACAAGAATTGTCCCTTTGGAAGTTTTAATGTTGTACTTGACACTGATCGCCTTTAGTTTATTACGAACATTTTCTTTAATTTTGGTACCCGGCCTTTTCGGCTTACTTGTGATGCAATGCTTCAATACAAACATATCTTGAAACAATTTGTTTTTCTTCTGGTAAAAACCCTCATTGAATTTCCTTATTTCAGTCATAGTTAATAAACAACATTGCATTGTTTTTGTTCAATGCCTACAAGTGGGGAATTCGGGTAGATGTTGCCGAGAATACCTACAAAAGTAAAAGAACTACTTTTCGAGGTTGCTAATCCCGAATTTGCAAAACAAACATACCTCTTTGTCTTGGATTTTTCACGCTTCCACTCTTGCTTATTTGCTATTCTCTTTCGCCCTTTGCCAAGAGGACTTGGCTCAATGGTAAGGTTGTTATCCATTTATTTTGTCATAGATAGTCAAAACTCCGTAACACGTTCGTTACCACGCTCTCGTTTAAACTAATCATGCAGAAGCGAACAAAATTAACAGCTGCTTCAATGTCACGGCGATCACGTGACGTAATGCGAGAACTGGATAGGTTCAAACACAAACGTCTGCTTTTGCATCTAACTACTTGGCGAAAATGTCTGCTTTTGCATTTAAAGTGGAATTTATTATCGCAATAACTCGCTTAAATGTATTGTTACGCTCCTGGGGGCCACAAAAATCGATTCCTTGCTAAATTTACAATACAGATCCGTGTCTAACTAATTTTTGAAGAAAATGTCGAATGTCTGCTTTTGCATTTATACGCCTCATATATAAAAAATATACTAAATAATTAGTACAAAAATTTTTTAATGCCGTACAAAATTAGTACATAAATAGCACAAAACGATGGTATCATCAAAATGCTGATATCTTAAAAGGGGGGTGTAACTGAATGTTCAGCTACACTCCCCACTTTGATATATATAAAAAATATACTAAATGATTAGTACAAAATTTTTTAATGTAGTACAAAATTAGTACATAAATAGTACAAAATTATGGCACTATCAAAAAACTGATATCTTGAAAGGGCGGTTGTACATGGAGGGGGGGGGTGTAACTGAACATTCAGCTACACCCCCCACTTTGATATATATAAAAAATATACTAAATGATTAGTACAAATTTTTTTAATGTAGTATAAAATTAGTACATAAATAGTACATAATTATGGCAGTATCAAAATGCTGATATCTTGAATGGGGGGTGTAGGTGTACGGACCTCTTTCTAATGCATCAAGAAACCATAATCCATACTTGTTTAACAATTTAAGATTTATCTATCACCAGTTTCTAATGGTATAGCATAAATCACAAAATATCAGAATAGGACGATTTTTCTTAACAAAATCAACTCTAACATAAGTACTAAAACTGATGGTGAAAGACGTTATGAATAAAAAATGTTCCTTATGCAACAAGAAAATCATAATCCATACTTATTTAACAGTTATCTATCACCAGTTTCTAATGATATAGCGTAAATCACAAAATGACAAAATTAGACGATTTTTCTTAATAAAATCAACTCTCACGTAAGTTCTAAAACTGATGGAGAAAGACGTTATGAATAAAAAATGTTCCTAATGCAACAAGAAATCATAATCCATACTTATTTAAGATTTATCTATCACCAGTTTCTAATGGTATAGCATAAATCACAAAATGACAAAATTAGACGATTTTTCTTAATGAAATCAACTCTAAGGTAAGTACTAAAACTGATGGAGAAAGACGTAGTGAATAAAAAATGTTCCTAATGCAACAAGAAATCATAATCCATAATTATTTAACATTTATCTATCACCAGTTTCTAATGATATAGCATAAATCAAAAAATGACAAAATTGGACGATTTTTCTTAATAAAATCAACTCTAACGTAAGTACTAAAACTGATGGAGAAAGACATTATGAATAAAAAGTATTACTAATGCATGAAGTAACCATAATCCATACTTATTTAACATTTATCTATCACCAGTTTCTAATGATATAGCATAAATCAAAAAATGACAAAATTGAACGATTTTTCTTAATAAAATCAACTCTAACGTAAGTACTAAAACTGATGGAGAAAGACGTAGTGAATAAAAAAAAATGTTTCCTAATGCAACAAGAAATCATAATCCATACTTATTTAAGATTTATCTATCACCAGTTTCTAATGGTATAGCATAAATCACAAAATATCAGAATAGGACGATTTTTCTTAATAAAATCAACTCTCACGTAAGTACTAAAACTGATGGAGAAAGACATTATGAATAAAAAGTATTACTAATGCATGAAGAAACTATAATCCATACTTATTTAACTTAGTTATTTATTTTGTCTATCACCAGTTTCTAATGATATAGCATAAATCACAAAATGTCAAAGTCGGACGATTTTTCTTAATAAAATCAACTCTCACGTAAGTACTAAAACTGATGAAGAAAGACGGTATGAATAAAAAATGCTTCTACTGCATCAAGAAACCATAATCCATACTTATTTAACATTTATTTTTCACTAGTTTCTAATGATATAGCGTAAATCACAAAATGTCAAAATTAGACGTTTTTTCTTAATAAAATCAACTCTAACTTAAGTACTAATGGAGAAAGACGTTATGAATACGAAATATTCCTAACACATTTAGAAATCATAATCCGTACTTATTTCATATTTATCTATCACCAGTTTCTACTGATATAGCATAAATCACAAAACGTCAAGTAGCTAAACTCACCACTTTGATATTCAACTAATTTCATTTAGCTATAATACACATTTTATGTACATAATTAACTCTTAACTACGAATTCTAGGCAATTTATCTAAACTTTAGTAAATCTATCCAATTTTTATTATACAACTTTTCTCTCTATGCAGAGTTAACGAAAACCAGGATATAAGTACGCCTAAACCATATTCTGTTAATTTTATCAATTAATAAATCATTTTTAAATTAAAAACATAACTTTATTTCAAAACTAATCTACGAATTATAATTAAAAACTCCGATTTTCTCAAAGAAATAGTGGAAAAACCGATCGTGAACTAAATCAACCTTGAAATATTCTTCTGGCGTGATGTATTTAATTCCCCCGAAGAAATCTAAAACCCCTATTTGATCGATATCGATTTTAGCCACATAAAAACCATGATCTAAAATAAAAATTCATTATTTAACTAAAAAGAATAAATTAGAAAAACACATTAACCTGTTGGCCAATACTTAATTGCAGGATGCTTATAAGTTAAAGATTCAAGACCAAAATTATAATCATCAGAACCAGATTTAGGCTAAAAAATTTAAATAATTAAAATTGTTTTTTTTTTAAATTTATTGATTTACTTTTATCATACGACCAGTTATCATTAATTTAGCACATCTTGGATCTTGTGGGTCGTAATCGTTTCGTTCGCAATAATTTCCTTCTGCTAAAGAGCACATAATCGTCACGCGATTATCTTTCTAAATAAAAATCAAACTTTTAAAATTAAGTTAATATTAACAAAGATCATGATTACCAAAATATCTTGTCCGCTTAAATCCATATCTGTCATATACAAATAAGGGACACCTGTACTGTTAGATCTTGTTCCATCACTAATTGATTTTAACGTTACGAAAGGAAATCCTACGATGTTTTTTTGGGTTGAAATCGTTGCTAAAGATACCCAATCTAAAAACATAAACATATTTATATACAAATTAAATATAAAATAATTAATTATTATTTACCTGAATTTTTCATGATGTATCGAGCCATCGCAGCAATTTTATCATGATCTGGTGGATCGAAAAGTTTCGCATTTGTTCCAAATAAACAAAGAATTAACACAAACACTACCGAAAAAAATTTTTGAATCATTTTGCGGTTGTAGATAAACGTTTGTTATTGTTGTGACACAAAGGAGTTTTAAACGGTTCTGATTGAAAAACAAGTCGTTCTTGGCTTTTGTATGGTTGTTTATGCTTACGATAATGACCAGTTTAGCTCAAAGGTCATTGTATTCGACGTTTTTGTTTTTATTCTAATAAGATCTATTTTAATATTCGCCTTTTAGCTGCTTCTTAAAATTAATTTTTGAATCATTTCTTCAAGAAATTAAATCGAAAAGATAGTAAATTAAAAATGTATTTTATCTGACTATGTCGAGAAGTTTTTTCAAGGTCATTTTAAATCACGACCTATCTTAAAATTAATTTTGATGTCAACATGTTTTCTTGTTATTATTTTTAGTTATGATTTGAATTTTTAAACATAAATTCAAAGATATGAGTCTTACTACAAAAAGCAATTTGAAGCAAATTTATTTAGTATTTAATTCTTGGAAGATCATTTCTTGGAATCTAAAAATTTCGGAGTTTTGATTTTTTGATCGCACCTTTGCATAATTTTAAACATAAAAGTTAAGGAAATAAATCATTGCGAATCTCAAAAACTAATTGAGATATAGTTATGAAATAAAAAGCAATTTGAAGCAAATTTATTTAGTATTCAATGCTTTGAAGATCATTTCTTGAAATTTTCAAATTTGGGAGTTATGATTTTTGGAACGCAATCTTACATAATCTTAAACACAAATATTGGGGTTGTGGGGCTAATGCTTTAATAGTAGCGAGAGGAAGTTTTTAGGAAAACCAATGTCTTCAACGACAAAATTTTATTTACAATAAAAACAACAATAATAAAAGTGCAGACGCGAAAAGGGTTGTCGATCAAAACTACAACGCGACAGTAACTGATGAACTGATGGTAACTGCTAACTGATCCCTCCGGACCGATCCTGGTTCCTTTTATCCCCGAGTCCAGTAACATCCCCGGTAAAAGTTTTGTTCGAGTCCTTGTCTGGACCAAAAGGATCTGCTGTCCAGATGTACGGAGAGAGTTCTTCTGAATAGTTTCGAACGCTTTCTGGGGTCCAGATGTTCGCCACGGAGAGCGTCCAGTAATATCTCCGGTGCAAGCTTTCCGGGAACCCTTTGCCTGGACCAAAAGGGTGTCCTGCCCAGATGACCGGAGAGAGATTTTTTGAATGGTTTAGAAAGTTCCCTGGCGTCCAGATGTTCGCCACAGAGACCACCCTGCCAGTGTTTGACCATGGGTTGGGAAACACGATACTAGAGACCTGCCTGGAAATGGTCAGGGAATCTAACGCGTCTCCCATATCGCGTTGTTGGCGGAGCAGGCTCTGTCTGCTGGGGTCCTGGATCATTCCGCGTAGCCTCTGGGCGTTGTGGATCCTCCTGGCGTTGTTCCTCTCCGGACAGGATGTAGGCTGCTTTCAAGCGGTCGATTGAAACGGTAATTTGCTTCCCTTTCTTTTCCAGGGTGAACGTCCTGTCGTTCCGGTTGGTGACGGGATATGGGCCCTCGTATGGGACTTCCAACGACGCGTGGTGTTCTCCACCCAAACGAATCCAAACATGTGTACAGGTGGCTAGGTCTCTGAAGACGAAGATCTTTTTACTTCTGTGCCTGGTTCCGTGAACCGGTTGAAGCTGTTGAAAGTGCTTTTTCAATTTTTGGGTGAAGTTCGTCGCACCTTCCTCGTTCCTGCGCGATTCTCTAGGTGCCAAGAATTTGCCCGGGAGTCTGCGAGGTTCGCCGTAGACTAGTTCCGCTGTCGTTGCCGAGAGATCGTCTCGCCAGGCTGACCTGATGCCCAGCAAGACCACGGGTAAGATATCGACCCATTTTTAGTGGCTTGGCATCGGATGGCGCCTTTGAGTTGACGGTGGAATCTTTCCACGAGACCGTTGGCAGCGGGGTGGTAAGCGGTCGTCCGAAAGTGCTTGGTACCTAGCGTGGCGTTAAGCTTCATGAAAAGCTGTGACTGGAATTGCCTGCCTTGATCCGTTGTCTTCGGGCTAGCTCGAGAAACGGTCCACACACGTTAAAGCGTACCTGTATCCTCTTGACATAGGTAGTGGACCCACCAGGTCAATGTGGATGTGCTCGAACCTGCTACTGGGTAATGTAAAGTTTCCAGTGGGGGCTGACGTATGTCGAGTTATTTTGGATCGCTGACAATCAAAACAGTGCCGGGTCCACCTCCTACAATCCGCCTTAATCGACGGCCACACGTAACGTTGAGTTACGAGCTTGACCGTGGCGTTAATTCCGGGGTGTGGTAGTTGATGTAGTGAATTGAACGCTTCCCATCTGAATTCGCGGGTGACGAAAGGTCGGGCATTAGGCGTAGAGATGTCGCAGTACACACTTTCATTGGTTCCTGGGATTGTTATCTTCATCAAGTTGAAAACAGAATCTGATTCCAGGAATTGAGACAGCTCATCGTCGTTTGTTTGAGCCCGTGCTAATGGCTCGAAATACAACGCGGGCGACAACTCTTCCACTCGCGATAGTGCGTCGGCCAGCACATTCCCAGTAAACAAGAAACATCTGTGAAACATTTCAATTTTAATGTACAGTGAATTAAATGAAACATCTTAGAACTAAGTTTCATATACGATTGTTACGAAACGTATCTAAAGATATGTATCAAATACATTTCAGTAGGAATATTTATGAAATATCATTAAAATATGTAGCAGAAACATTTCATTTGAAACATTTCTCTACAAATGTGTCTGAAACATGTCTGGAATATCTTCGAGGAGGGTTCCGTCCAATCGGAACAAATGGTATGTCCCAGACAGTACGTCGCGCCTTTATCTTACCTACATAAAGAAATAAGGCGCGACGTTCTGTCTGGAACGCACCATCTGTTCCAATTCGACGGAACCCGCGGCACCCCGCAGAGCTTATTTCTGTTTCTCTTTAATTTGTAATTCCATTAAATCGCTCTTCAAAAATTAGGGAGCTCTAATTTTGAAAAACTAATAACGGAATCCGACAACCGACATTATTTGATATATTTTGGTCAAATCCGCGAGGAAATTCATCCAGCCGTTTTCGACATAACGGCGTCTTACTAAACCGCCATTTTCCGTGAAACTATATGGAATATCGAAAAAATAAAATATTATTAAGAACACATCAGGCTACCACCTGTTAAAAATTCAAATTTTTTCGTACGATAGTTTTCGAGAAAAAAAATCGGGAAGTTGAGAAATTGCCGGTACTCTCAAAAATCGGGTACTTTTTTCATTTAACTCGTGATAAAAAGAAAACCGTGGATCCGAAAATTTTCAAATTAGCATATGTTACGTAAAAATGTTCAGTGATTACAACAAACTTTGTCGCAATTTCTTTTTATCGAACGGTTGCGAAGATATATGTAGATCTCTAAAGTGAGGGGCCTTGACTTTTTGCACGGATTGTAGTGGAATAAAGTTACTTTATTCCACTAGTGGAATAATGAAAAATACAATCTTAAATCAATCACATCCTATTTATTATTTATATTAACATTAACGTTTATATTAAATAGACATTTCATTGTTTGATCACTTTCTTCCATTTTTCACCAACTTTACCTTTACAACTTTCACACTTTTACAAATATATTACAAATGGAGTCGGTAAACGATCGAAAATAAATAGCAACTATTCAACATCTCCCAATGTTTTTTTTAGTTAATTGCAATGATTTTTGAGGTGACAGCCGCTGTCAGAGTGAAATGTCAAATCATTTTTTGATAACATCAGATGAAATTTTGGCGGTTCTGATTCTAAATGAGTGTGATTGTGGATAAAACGTTGTATTGCATGCGTGTTTTAGATGCATTTTATTCACTTAAGAAAATTAAAACATGAACATTCTTGCGTGAATAAAATGCTGTCTAAAACACTTACACAATAAATAACCATTGCATTTCAGAAATAATTCAAAACGGTTAACGAAACATTTTAGTAATGTAGCGTAATTGTCAGCTGTATGTTGCAAAAACGTTTCAATGAAACATAAAAAGGGCCGGACATTAGCAGTTTCAGACACGTTTCAACTATGTTTCAGAAATATGTCGAAGAAACATTTCATGTTTCAATAATATGTATCAGAAATGTTTCTGAAACGCAAATTGTTTACTGGGTTGTCTTTTCCTGCCACGTGACGTATGTCCATTGTGAATTGTCCAATAAAGTCTAAATAACGGAACTGTCGCGGCGAGCACTTGTCCGCTTTCTGTTGAAAGGCGAACGTAATTGGTTTATGGTCCGTGAATATTACGAACGTTCGCCCTTCGACCATGTGCCGAAAGTATCGTTTGGCTTTGTAGATTGTTAGTTCTTTTTTGTCGTCGGCGCCTTTTTTTTTTTCGGCGGTGCTCCACTCCTCCACTGGTTTGTTTCTTGTGTAGAAGCCCCGTGGTTGCCAAACTCCATCTACTAGTTGTTTCAAGGCAGTTCCGACGGCGAAGTCCACGGCGAGTCCGGTGCTGGGTATGCCGACAGGGTAGCTTGTGCCAACGCTTCCTTGCAGTCGTCGAAAGCTTGAACCGCTGCCTCCGTCCAGACGATTGGTACTTTACCTTTTAGGTTCCCCTTTAACAAATCGTTCAGGGGTGATTGTAGTTAGGCCGCTCTCGGTACGGCCTGCCTCGAGAAGTTGAATGCTCCTATGAATCTCCACAGTTCCTTTGCCGTTTTAGGTCGTGAGTAATTCTTGATGGCCTGGATCCTTTCAGATAAAGGTTTTACCCCTCTGCAGGCGACGCTGAATCCCAGGAAATTTACTTGCGGTTTCCCGAAAACGCACTTCGCAGGGTTTATCAGGATTCCGTATTCCTTTAAGATTGAGTGAATAATCGTTATGAAATACAATGCAGTTTGATGAAAATTTATTTAGTATATAATAGACTTTCAAAATCATTTCTTGGAATTTTCAAATTTCGGAGTTATGATTTGTTGAACGCAATCTTACATACACTTAAACACAAATGTTGGGATAATTAATCGTTGCGTATCTCAAAAACTAATTGCGACATCGTTAGTGCAAATTTATTTAGTATTTAATACTCTGAAGATCAATTCTTGAAATCTTCAAATTTCTGAGTAATGACTTTTTGAACGCAACCTTGCATATAATATTAAACAGAAATGTTGAGATAATTAATCGTTGAGTATCTCAAATAATAATTGAGATATCGTTATGAAATAAGAAGCGATTTGAAACAAATTTATTTAGTATTCAATGCTTTGAAGATCATTTCT